CAGGGGGGAAGACAATCAAAACCACAGGACTGGGAGGAGACCACGAATGAACTTATCTACTATGACCGCTGTGCCGACTTGGTATCACTTCAAACACTATGGCAACACATTCCAGATTAAGTTGAGAGCACTTTGATAAATTATCTTCGTCGGTGTTGAAATCGACGTCACATATTACTCGTCCGTCATGACTTCGAAGATGGCAAATAAACTAGTGCACTATAGACAATATGCTAAGCGGTATTTAACGTCCCAGTCGTTACCTCGACAATAAACATCATTTCTAATACAAAAGGCTTACAGGGGTCTAACGACGGTAGATTTCATTCAAACTGACTACTAACAAATGTGGAAGTAGTCCAATGCTAAATACGGTCGTAAAAACGTCGTTCTATCACTTCATCTTACTGTATTGTTTCCAGGTTACGCATTGTTTTACTCACTTTACTGTCTTCTGTACACTTTCATCAATCAACCTGTTCATTTACTGTTTTAGTCTGCTTTCACCGTGGAAGCAGTCAGTACGTATCTCACAAATAACTAATTAAATTAATTTGACCGGAACCATATATCTGGTCCTATCAAAGTGTTTTGTTCGCTATGCTTGCACAGTTGTTAAACAAGAGACAAAAATTACCACAATGGTTACTCGTGATAAAGTTGAACAAACGTGATACGCACAAGGCGAGGGGAAATTTTTTCGCACTCTCATCGATCGCAATCGAGTACCATTCAGATGTCAAATGGCAAAAGAAAGTGAGAAAAAAAGACGCTATTCGTGGGTCAAAAGTAAGTTATTGGTAATTGGTTAAAGCCGTGTCAAGCTCTTTTAGAAGAGCCGTAGGTAATCGAAACGGCTTTGACACTTTGCTGGAGGGGGCAGGGGACGCGATGACGTAGCAAGACAAAGAAGGCAATTTTACTACACACGAAGTGATTCACAGGAAAAGGGGTAGACCCCATAATCAATGACATACTGTCAGGGGGGAAGGCATGTTGTGGAACATTCAAGTGAAGACAGAGTTATTAATCCTGCTTTTGAAAACAGTCGGATTTTAAGTGCTGGGAAATACGGAGATAGGAAAAGTGTTGCACAACTTCGCAGTTCTGGAGAAAAAAGGAAAATTGAAAGATACAAGTCCCTCCTGATAAGGGTGACTACCCACCTAAGAACGAGAAAGAGTCAATGGGAGGGGAATCACTGAAATAGGGTTGATCTTTTGATCGTTCCCAGCCAATTGGCAAGCGGTCGATGACTTTGGCCTAAACGTCACGTTCACCCTTGGTGGAGTTATCGCCTCTAGGATGTATTTCTGAATGTATTGGGCTAATTTTTGACCCCACATCATGCTGGTTCTATCGATGTACACCTCCCTGTAAATGCAACGAGGGGTGGGATCAACGGGAATATCGCGTGGAAGAGGAGAGACGACTGGGCTCGATCGAATTTCGTGTGAGGCTCATCAACCGGGACGGAAACGGGAAAACAAGAATTAAAAAAAAACATACTCAGAATGCGATTCACATTGTTCGGCTCGACCTCCCGGCATGCCAGTATGCGACACATTGTTTCGGCCACGGCCGGTGTTGTCAGCTGATCGGTTTGTTGCAAATGTGCGAACTTCTGAAGCAGTAAATGCAGCACACTGAAATGCCAAAAAAAGAAAATGGACAGTATTTTGATCAAGCACATATCCGGGGCAAATAGCGAGCAATCGAACAGTCAGTAAACTAAACGAATGAATAATTGAACCGTACTGATTGTTTGTGATTGTTCGTATTCCAATTTCAAAAAGTTCAGGCACCTTGACAGATTCGGGGCCACTTATTTTCATGACACCGTGTCATGATAACTCATGGTGAGCACCAATTATGTTTTTTCGGGAATCGGTATCCTGATCTCTTTCTCTCTCTCTCGCACAACCCGGACCATATGAAAAAGCTGAAAATTTGCAAACGTAAATCAGCGCCTTCGGTGAATTGTTGCATCAAATTTATGATCGCTAGGATCTATGGATGGAATATCAGATCCGAGTGATTATGAGGGGGGGGGGGAATNGCATAACACTGTGTAGTCACACTGTGCAGTGCATCAAAACAAACCATCGGCCATTTTCAAGTCAATACAGATCAAGGATATGTTGCTTTTTCGAACGTGATTCTGATTGGCTGTCCATATTTCAGAAATACAAAAATGAAAGACATCAAATCATTTATGACCTCTTTTGAGAATAGAGAACTAAGTCTCTTGATCTCACATTATGATCCACATGCACATGTGAACCGTAGGTTTTTGATTAGTCACATATGACTCAGTGATGAACAGTACACGAGGTGTCCCGGGACCAACAGCACGAGCAAGGACCAACTGTTCTGTTCTTCTATCCGGATGATTTCTGTCTTGAAACGCGAACTAGCCCACCAGATAAGGACACTGCAGTGAAATCGCCTATCTCCAGAGCAGTCATTAACAGAGAGGAAAAAATAGACAAAAATGGCAGTTCAGTAAGGGATCAAGTACAGTTCACATGACCGCTAAAAGGTCGTCCGGAAAACAAAATATCTTTGTGAAGGAACACGTACAGCATGCGAAGATGCACTGACATCGTGCGGATCAAATGATGAGGCAGGGGTTGTAGACGTCCCCGGGCAACAAGCCCATAAGGTAAAGGAACGAGACCGTTATTGAGCAACTTGGGCCATAGTCGCGCATACGGACAAGTGGATGCGGTCGAGTCATCTCGTTCAGCAAACCAGAACATGTCGACAAGGCGCTGGATGAGTGGACTGACTTCCGTATCTGTGCTATCTGAAATTCGGGAGTTGGGAGGATAAGACAACAGCAGTGATCAGCCCTTTTACAAAAAAAAACAATAAAAAACAGAACGGTAGAGAAAGACTACAGAATGTTTGTCGATCGAATTCTGGCAGGTGAACTAACTGTTTTTTTTTTGATAAATTCATCACCATAGCAGCAAAAATGACTTCGGTTTACAGTCCTTTGAACAGCCAGGGTGATGGCGATCCAAACATTGGATCCGCTTCCCCGTTATTCAACCGGAAGCAGTTCGTTCGCCCTTAAGCTTTGCCTCATAATAGCTCATAATACATCCCCCAGAAGGGGACACATTAATGACCCAGCCGAGATGATGAAGAACAGGTAAACAAGCATAGTATACCCTCCGCAGATGGCNATCAGTTGTTCCGTATTGTCGCTGACTTGTTCCAAACAGTTGTTTTCCGTATATTAATCTGACTACTCACAAGTAGAAACATGCGTAAAGGGAAAGTGTCAGATGATCACCCGGTCGGTAGTTGTGCGATGAAAACACCTCAGTAACGAGAATGGAAACTGAAACGAGGTTTTTGAAGGTCAACGGAACCAGCCGCAATGAGCTGGATCAGCAAGTTTCGGTTCACTGAGAAAAATTCAGTGGCAGCACGTAGCTTGCAAAATTCTTTACAGTACAAGACAATGGCCATCTTAAAAACTGACTGTACATTTACCATAATGCAAAAAGAAAAGAATCGGCTAGTATCATGCTTACTATTGTTTCATGGTGAACCAAAAAGGCCAATGAACAGTCGGGGGGCAGGAATTTATCAGTAATGAAACAGCAAATCATTTAAGCACCCAAATCAAAAACTCACATGCGTTGAGTATGACAAACAACTGTTTCCAAGTCAGTTGAGAGGTTGAACTCAGCATCGGTCCGTTACTATCCAAATTGGATACGGAATCGATCAAAGCACGCATTCGATGGGAAATGCGCGTCTCGAACGGTCTAAGAGCCGGAGGCATGACGCGCGGTAAGTGATCGTGGCTTTGCCGGCTCTTACGCAGTACATGTTGCCACAAACAGACAGGAGCACTTGCCAAATGCATCAGACGACTCTGACGTTTACGACCACGCGTGGACCGATGCGGTGATGGTGGGAGAATATCTGTGAATGACGAATCATAATACACTTCCATGAAGGAGAACTAAAAAATGCATATTTTTAAAACTGCCCAGGAAGCCGGTTTTTAAGCCGTGATTCTTTTCATATTTCGAATGGTTCTTTCTCGTTTGTCCGACCATCTAGGCTGGTTTCCGTTGTGTTGACGTCGGTTGACCGAAATTCTAGTTTTTTTCCAGTTTACAGTGATTTTCAAGTTATTTTTATCCCGAGGAGAAACGCCGTCTAAAACGGCAAAGAAAGTTGATTCGGGATTACCGGACTTCATTATTGGTTGTGCTGAGTCATTCGATTATAAAACCTGACTTGAGAAAGGTTACCCACGGTAACCGAAACGTCGGCGAATATAATTCTCTACCGACATCGCTGTGTTATTAACACTATATCATTCACAATAAAACAACACATGGCGCATCGATTTTTCGATACACTCCTAACATCATTTGGTCACGATATTCTGTGTCTTGTTGCGCAAACTTGGGTCCCAAACAGAGCACAGGGTGAGGAGAAAAGATTTTACTGGTATAATCAGCGACCAGTCTGTGACGCAGCGCGGGACACGTACAATGAGCGGGCGAGGAATGAACATTGAGTAAAATACGGTCTGAATGATATTGTGGAAAAATTTAACCAAACGCGCATACGCACACGAATCTAGAGCAACTTTAGCAACTTTGTGGTTTCAGATTTGATCTCCACAAAACTCTTCTAACATACTCGAAATCACCGTTGAGGACCGTAACAACAATCTGATAACGAACCTAGGGAAAATTCGTCTTCCGATTCCTCGGCTGACGTGCTATCAATGTATTCATCCTGATCCGCTTCCTGATCGAACACTTCTTCCGTGGAACCAACGACACCGCCAACATCATCACCACCGGACATCAGCTTGTCCTGATCACCCAACCGACCGGTTACCTCAAACGTTGTCGAATCCGTGCCCGGCGTGTGAGTAAATCTATCCTCAGCGCGGCCGTTCGATATGTCCCCTTCTGTCGTGCTTTCTGCAACACGTTTATCTGGTCGCTTGCGAGAGCCGGGCAATTGCAACTCCAACGCTTTGTCAGGATCTTCCGCATCCGGAAACAGGATGTCGAACAGGCGTAGACAGGGCACAAAATCTGTAAGCTACAATCAGTGAACGAAGCAGAGACAGATAAACGGAATTCTCGATGAAACTTGCGATTATATCAAGATAACGAAGGACACTCAGAGAAATTTCATACGGGTAAGCAGATCATAAAGATACAGACCAATAAAAAAAGGCATACTCACTTTTAGTCTTCACAAAAAAAATAATCCTACACAATTGTGCTTTAGTTTTGATTTTCGTACTTCAAAAATCTAAATTTCAAACAGATTACAATAAACGAAAACCTGAGTAGCGCTCTAGAAAACCACCAAGTGATCGATTTCATGATTTACAGTATATAGGTGATAGATACCGCTATTCTCCGCGAGTTCTCTCAAAATGTTCAAAATGTTCTACGTGAAATAGAAACAGCCGTCTCACAGTCGAGGAAGGAACTTCTCAGCGGGGAGCAAATACTTACTGCAAAGAGCTGAGAAACCAGTTCGAAATGGTCGAAGTTGATTCCGTTCAGGGGGATTGACAGAAATATCGGAGCGCAGTGATGAAACTCGGCTAATGTCCATCGTTATACTTCGTCAGCCTTCGATTACGGAGCATTCAAAGAGGCTTGCCGAATGTGAAAAGTGGCCAAATAGGCTCACCGGGGACGGAACAGGTGTCGTAGCCGGTTGCCGTCGAGTCTGTTAATACGGCACTTTTTCGCCCGAGTTCAGCACAGAAAGTGGTGTTCGAAAAGGTTGCCCTCTCTCTCCGTTTCTAATTAACTTCGTGATTGATTTAATTCTTGAAACAGTCGTATCCTCGTGTGAGGATAGCGGTATCGACTTACTCCCGGGTGGTAGACTGTCTGATCTAGAGTATGCAAACGACGTTGTGCTACTAAGTGAAGATCCAGATAAGTTTCAAGCTTTTCTGGATAGTGGGAGTGCTAGTGTGGCCATGTTGGGTATGTTTTGCACATTCAAAGTACAAAATAAATGTTGCTTCAAGTTTGGGTTGGTCCGACGTCCAGTTTCAACCTAACTGGGGAAGTAATAGAGCAAGTTGGTAATTTTTGTTGTTTGGACAGCTACATCTCACCCGGTAGACGCATCACGGATGAAGTGTCTGCTCACATAAAGAAGGCTCGGTTGACATTTGCCAACTTGAGACATCTGTGGCGCCGTCGCGACATCCGGCTGTCTGTGAAGGGTCGAGTGTCACCGCGGCAGCTCGGCGCAGAAACCTGGCCATTACGGGAACCGGATAAGGATAGACTATCGGTGTTTGAACACTGTTGTCTGCGCTGCATTGCACGAATCTGGTGGGGTAGCCGGACGAACAACGATGAAGTTAGGCGTAGAGTTTTGGGTAACCGTGGTTGCCCACTGGTACAAGTGGTCGACCTTCATAGATTACGTTGGTTGGGGCATGTGTTACACATGTCATGAAACTGCTGTCAGGCATTACTCTCTATGGGGGAAGGTCGGATTTCTGAGTGGCGTACTGATTGTTTATGGTTGGCGAAAACAAGCGAGGTATACAGAACTATCCGGTACGTTTAACAGATCTTTATCAAGCGTTCGTGGACTTGGGGATTAGATGCACTTAAACCCGAAAATCTAACAACAATATCGCTAACTCATTGTTCACGTTGAATTCAATGCGAAAAAGTACTGCCACGGCAATTCCCATGCAACAACCACATTTGGAAACGTCAACCGACAGGTTTTCCAGTGGATCAATGAAAACCGATAATAGCAAACTATCATGAAATAAGTATGCCTTGGAAACGAGTCCGCAATCAGTAACTCACACGACAGTGTCTAACCTGATTATTTTGCAAGCGATTATTCCCATCACCTGAACCTCGTTGATTGAATGGGCACTGCATCGAATGTGTGATGATACGAAGAAATTGATCTAGCCTCCATCCCCATCCCACACTGCCCTTAACATTAAAAAGAACAGTCCATTAAAAACTTGAACGGATATCGCGAAATTGTATTGCACAGCTTCGGGAACTCCAAGCGGACTGTACCATTCACCAGTGCGAATAGAAATGAGATTAGCTTCCGGTGGCGTTCATTAGACAGCGATAGTCTGATGCACTTCTGACGTAACATCAACTTAGTGTACAGCGGAGTTAGCCTAACCCCTGGAAATTGATTTATCTTGTAAGGTAAACCTAGGAACCCGTTAACTTCAGTGGATGGGTGGTACGTAAGAAAACTAGTAAAAAGGCAGTGTGAAGAACAGAGATACAAACATACGACTGTGTGAACAGAAAATCTGCTGAATTTTGACACAGTAGTAAATATAAATGAAATTATTCGAACCCTAAAATGACACTCACCATATTTTTGCCGATAAAACCGGAAGTAGCGTTTAGTACAAACCACATCACGTAGTGACACGAATTTGTCCACGTTCGACCTTCGAGCTGCAAACCAACGTGAAAATGAGCCATGTGGTTTCAGAGGTAATGGATAGGGTGAGCGGCACTGAAGTGAACACAATCCTCACTGATACCGATCATGCAGCTGCACATTTACATCCACTAGAAGTTGAATATACTAAATGATTCGAGGCTGTCTATGCCTAATCGTAGATACAGGTGTTGACCAAACTCGTGCAACATCACCCTCATTTTGAAAACCCATTTCAGCTTGCAATAGCATACTTATATATAGATGGTTATGGGTACAGTGTATTTATTCCTGACTTTGTCTCCAACATCTAAGTCCTTAGTTCATTTCTGTCACCATTTGAATGTGCGCGACCTTGAGGGT